GGTGAAGCCAGAATGCTCCTTTGAGTCAAGGATTCTGAAGCTTCGTCTGACATACTTTGGGCATGTTGCAAGGAGGGACTCGTCCTTGGAGAGGGACATCATGTTTGGGAGAGTGGAGGGATGGTGAGGGGAGAAAGACCCTCTATGAGATGGACTGATTCTGTGAGTTGAGTGATGGGAATGAGTGTATCTGACATGGCGAGGTTGGCACAGGGTAGAACAGCATTTAGGGCTCTTGTACATAGGGTTGCTATGAGTCGCAAGCAACTCGATGGCATACAACAACTCCAAGAAGGGAAAAGTAGCTAAACAAAAACAGAAAAATGTTATATAGCATATAAAATTTTGTTTAGGAAAAGTTTATAACATAGCATGTAACTATGTGAAGTGTGGTGAAAAAGGCAAAACATCATATAAATAATGTGTTCACATCTGAGTGAAGCACACCACCAGGGACATAAACACTTAAACCATCCTTTAGTGTTTTCCGACTAGGAATTCTAATCAATGGCACTGTACATATAGGTATGTGCTCAGCTTTCTTCCTTTTAAATGATTTTCATTTGCTTTACCCTTAGAGTGACATTGCTCTCTTAATTACACCATGTAAGATGTTCTCTAAACCTACCTGCTAAATTGGCTTGAACTCAAACACTGGTGAAGACTTCTTTTTCCCTAAATGTACCTGAGAGAGAAATTTGAGGATGGCAAGGCAAAATAGGAGGCAAAGTATGGCTTGAGGAAAATATTCTGTGGGTGAACTGTGTTTCCTGTAGGACCAGCTTTCGTTTGCCCCTCTAGGTTGGTAGTACTTATATGGTAATATAGACAAGCTTTACTTTAAATGTATATGCATCAAGCTTGATGTCTTTCCAAGTTGTTGTTGAAGGTGGAGTCAGCTCAGCCTCCCAGAACTTTACAGAACACACAGCCTGGCCATGCACCATTCTTAGCACGAAAGCTGGCTCGTCACTGTTGAATCCTTTCAAATCCACAAGAAATATTTTAAAGAATAAAAATGGAAACAAAATACTAATAAGAAAAGGTAACTGATCTTTAAGCTTTATGCTGCTTCTAAACATAAATTCTTTTAAACCAAAAATGTGTTTTTTTGAAGCATTAGTAGCCAATATATTTTACACTGTAACAGATACTTACTTGTAATTTTTTAACTGCATACAAGATATGTTGTTTTCCTACTGAATTTAAAAGACTATTTTATTATAAAGAAGACCTGGATAGAAAGGGAAGATAAATGCCTACAAAATGTATACAACAGGTTTATGGGAAAATAGTTTAAAAAATTTAAACTTACTGTTCATGGAAATCTAGCATTGGCGGCTCAAATCGTATAGGCCTGCAATTACCCCGGTACAGAGATATACTGCAAGTAAGAAGAAAACAACATAAGCAAAAAATTGTCAAAAGATATATTTCTACAACCTAGTAAAAGAATTTCTGCCGTGGAAAGTACCTTTAAGCAACTCAGCTACCTGACAATGTGTCAGAGCCAACTCATAATTGGCCCCAGTGGGTTTTCAGAGGCTGTGAACAGCAGAAGAGGACACTGCCAATCTTTCTCTTTTCTAGGGCTGTAAATCACAAGGGAAGCAACTGTACACCTTTCTTCCAAGGAGTAGCAGGTGGATTCGAACTACCTGCCTTTGGGTTGGCTGTGAAACTCCTTTCCTACTAGGTCACCAAAGCCCTTCTTTAAGAAATATTAAGTTTAATGTTCTATTAGGGATGTGGCTCTTTTAAATTGAAAAACCAATAAATGCTGAACATTAGGAAAGTGTTTTTAAAGCAGCAGGGAATTTTTTTCTATTCAAAGACATGTGAAACAGAAAATGCTCAAGCAGACTGAAAGCTGAGTATTCTTTGGTTGATAAAATTGAAAATAATGTGTTTCAGTAAGTTCTCTTTACTTTCTGGAGATATATATATTGTGATTGATTTGTTGCTGTTGTTGTTCTTGTTAGGAGTCTTTGAGCGGACTACAACTCATAGTGACCCTATAAGCAACAGATCTGAAACCTGCCTTATTCTGTGCCATCCTTTTTATATCCCTGATATACTGAATTCACTGTTATGGTTGATGTGTCAATCTATCTTGCTGACGGTCATCTTTGATCATCACTTTTCCCCAGCATGTTGTCTTTTTCCCCCAAGGACTGGCCTCTCCTAACAGCATGCCCAAAGTAGGTGAGACAGTTTCACCATCCTTGTCTCTAAGGGAGCACGCTGGTTTCACTTTCTCCAAGATACATCTGCTTGCTTCTTTGACAGTCCATGGGATATTCAGTGTTCTTCTGCAACCCCACAAGTCCAAGGCATTGAATCTTCTCCTGTCATCCGTATTCACTGCCCAACTTTGAGATGCATAGCAAGTAACTGAAAAGATTAGAGTCTGGATGAGGTACAGCTGATTTCACACTGTTATTAGGTGGTGACGAGTTAAGTACAACTCATAGCAACCTTAAGAAGAGCAGATCAGAACCCTCTCATAACCTGTGCCATCATCATCATCCAACAAGCTCAACTGTGTCAATGTGTCGGAGATTTTTACATCAGTTTTCAGCAATGTAAATATTATATGACCTGGTGGGGTATGTTTGTGTCAATTTTTCTGGATATTTATGGAAACATTCTCTTACCTGAAAATGCAATTATACATGTGTTGGACTCCTTGGATCATACTACAGAGTATACTGGGCTTGTTCACTTATACTCCCAGTCTTTTTTCCCTCTGTGTTCAATCTGATTTCTTCTTTCTGTTTTAAAATTTGCTGAGTTTTTAGTTTTGCAAGGGAGCTCTGATGGTGCAGTTCATAGAGTTGTGCTCAAACCTAAAGGCAGTGCTTCCCTGACAGTTCTAATCCACCAATGACTTTGAGGGAGAAAGATACACAATCTTATCCTGTACAATTTATAGCCTCGGAAATCCAATGGAGGATCAGTTGAACTTGTGTGTACTCAACAGCAATGAGTTTCAGACATTTTTTATTATGTTTTTCTTTTTCAATGCCTAATCCACAATTTTTGCATTCCAATCCCAATGTCAAGAAGACAAAAATTCTCACCACTGGACCAACTGGTAGCATCAGGATGGATGGTGAAGAGACTGAGATTGTTCATAGCTTCAGTTTGCTCGGCTCCACAGTCAACATTTTTGGCACCAGTAGCCAGGAAATCAAAAAACGTATTACGATGGGAAAGTCTGCTGTTAGGGACCTCTCTAAAGTACTCAAGAGCAATGGTGTCTCTCTGGAGACTAAGGTGCACCTGATACAGGCCATGGTTTTTGCAATCACTTGTTATGCATCAGAGAGCTGGACAATGACTAGGGAGGACAGAAGGAGAATTGACACCTTTGAGCTGTGGTGCTGGACAAGAGTATTGGATGTACCATGGACTGCCAAGAAAACAAACAGATTCATCCTAGAGAGGGTTAAACCAGGCTACTTCTTGGAGGCAAGGATTCTGGGGCTTCGTCTGACATACTTTGGACATGTTGAAAGGAGAGACAGGTCTTTGGAGAGGGACATCATGCTGGGTAGAGTAGAGGGACAGCGCAGGAGGGGAAGACCGTCTATGAGGTGGACTGATTCAGCGACTGGGGTAATCGGGATGGGTGTGTCAGAGGCAACGAGAGTGGCACAGGATAGAGCACAGTTTAGGGCTGTTGTACAAAGGGTTGCTATGAGTCGCAAACGACTCGATGGCACATAAAAACCACAACAACAATCCCAATACTTCCAAAACATCTTTGTTGCACATTAGATCAATTTCAGGCTGCAAAAGTCAGTAGAAATCCCCAACTTCTTCATTTGTGGTTTTAGTGGTTAGTGTGTATACTTGAGTAATTGTTTTATTAACATATCTTCCGCGTATATATGGATAGTGTCCTAACTCATGGCACTGTACTTCAGGATAGATCTTGAAATGGTCTTTACTCTAAATGCAACACTATTCTTCTTCACTTTGTCATTCCCCACAGAAAAGATGATTCAAAGAGGCCAATACAAGTTCATCTGAGATCCCTAATAGAACTTCCAATTTTGCTAGATCCACACTTTGTATATTCCATGTTCCGATATTAATGGATGTTTGCATCTGTTTCTCCTCTCTTTGTCTTCCAATGAGAGGGCCTCTAAGTTCAGCACTGTATTTAACAATGTTCCTCTGTTAGGAATAGTTTTTACAAAAGTTGAAAACAAATAAGAAATGGTAGTTGGAAGGTATAGACTTGGTAAAAGAAATGAGACGAGAGATTAAACGATAGAATTTTGTATAATCAGAGATTTATTCACTGTAAATACCTTTCTTTAAAAATAAAAGCATAAATGGCAATCAAACACTCACTTAATGAACTACACAGGAATCAGACTGACTACACCTGTGGAAAGAGTCAACGGAGAAGCTGACTATCAGTAGTCAAAACAAGGCCAGGGGCTAACTGGGGAAGAGATCATCAATTACTTATGTGTAAGTTCAAAATTAATTTGAATAAAATTAAAACAAATCCAAAAGAACCAAATTATGACTTAAGTACATCCCAGTTGAATGTAAAGCCATCTCTAGAGTCAGTGCATTGAATCCTAATGATCAAAGACCAGATAAGTTGTGGGATAACGTTAAGGATATCACTCCTGATAAAAAAAAAAAAAAAGAAAAAGGGAATGTAAATTTTAAAAGGCAGTTGAGAACACAAAATATTATTTTAAAATGTGCAAAGAGCTAGAGTTAGAAAATCAAAAGGGAAGAAATGCCCCAAAGGCATATATAATTAGGCTTTATTTGCCTGACAACAGTCTAGAATAAGAGGTGCATAGGAAAGTGGACTGGAGTGGGGGTGGGGAGGATATTGTGTAAGAATGAACTAATTTTTTAAAAAACAAAAGCAAATGGGCAGGGATAGGGAGGAAAATTTACAACAACAAATTAATGGAAATCCAAATTTTCTTTAAACTTTTATTAAAATCACAATAAAAAAATTATTCAAAAGCTTTTTTACTATGCAACAACAACAACAAAACCTAAAAAAAGTCATTCCCTTCAAGCCTAGATTTTCAAAAAGGAAGGATGCTATGGACAAAATCTTGAATGATGCAGGAAGCATCTAAAGAAGATGGAAGAAATACACAAAGTCACTTGTAACAAAAATTACTGGTCAACAATGAACCATTTTAGGAAGTAGCATATGATTAAGAACCAATGGTAAGGAAGGAACTCAAATGGCATTGAAGACAGCAGCATTCAGTAAAAAACCAAGGAATTAATGGAATACCAACTGACATGTTTCAATAAACAAATACAACCCTGAGTGTGAATACTCATTTATGCCAAGGAATTTGGAAGACAGCTCCCTGGTGAACTGACTGAAAGACATCCCTATTTGCTCCCATTTAAAAAATAAAGAAAGAAAGAAAAAAGATTAAACAGAAAATGGAAATTATTGAAGAATACCATTACTATCATATACAAGTAAAATCTTGCTGAAGATTATTCAAAAGCAGCAGGAACAATCAATAGAGAACTGTGAGAAATTGAAGATTGATTCAAAAAAGACTGTGGCATGAAGGATATCAGATATCTCAGATAGACTTGGCTGAAAACAGAAAATACCAGTAAAATATTTATTTGTTTTTATTTATGCAGAAGCATTTGGCTCTGTGGATCATAACAAAATTATAGATCACACTGAGAAAAAGAATCCTAGATCACTTAACTGTGCTCATGTAAAACACCTACTTAGACCAAGAAGCAATTATTCTAACAGAACAAGGAAACACTGAATGGCTTAGAATCAGAAAAAAGTATGCGTCAGGGTTGCATCCTCTCTCAATGTATCTATTCAATCTGTATGACAAGCAAATCATTGTGGCATTAAAGAATATTGAAGACACTGAAGAATAATGTGACATCAGGATTGGAGAAAGACCCTTCAGCAACCTGTGTTAAGAAGATGACCCAATTTTGCCTGTAGAAATGGAAGAGTACTTGAAACACCTGCTGCAGAAGATTAAAGACCCCAGTCTTCAATATGGTCTATCTTGCAACATCAAGAAAACAAAAATCTTCCAGCACTGGACTGACAGCCAATATCATGATGTTTGTTGTTGTTGTTATGTGCCGTCGAGTCACCTGCGACTCATAACGACTCTATGTACAACAGCCCTAAACTCCGCTCTGTCCTGTGCCAATCGCACTGTCTCTGACACTCCCATTCCAATTATCCCAGTCACTGAA